GCAATGTCTTTGATATCAACGAAGAGGGGTTCAAATATGTCCAGGCCGCAATGTCTTTGATATCAACGAAGAGGGGTCCAAATATTTCCAGGCAATGTCTTTGATCAGTATCAGCTTTCTTTATGCGCGTGAAGAGTTCTTAACCTAAAATGTTCTGAGTATCGACTAGATTCCTCCAATCACAAAGCAGCTCTTAGCATTAATTACTTGATTCGCATGCATGGCTATTTGGACCAATCAGCGTCGAGGAAAAAAACGGTCAATTTGTCACGTGTTACCTATAAGTACCTCCAGCAAGAACTGGGAAGGATCCAGACAAGACTGAAGCGACGCCCTCGGCGTAAGCACAGGATACTAAACCATCAAAGACCATCATAACTAACTTAGAACTTTTTCAATAAAAGTAGTTGATAATGCTATGAGCAAATGACATTGCTTTTACCTCGGGTCAATAAGAAGTAATAATTACAATCTTATTATCTCTTTATCAACCAGTAAAATGTTAGTAATTGCAAACGTCAACGTTTTCGGATCGTAGCTCCTTCAGAATTTTTCACAAACCCCCGGTCAGATTCAGTCCTGGATCCGCGCGCCCCTGATTTTTCCCGTTCATTTATTCGTTATTTTCTAAATTATTACGGAAGTTATATCTTTTGAAATCTAAAAATTAAAACCCAGAGTTTTCTGGTTATCAATTTGATTTTATTTTGAAAATAAAGTAAACAATTAATATGTAAATGAGGTATTCCGTCGAGGTTTTGCCAACACCAGAAATCATTTTCAAAAATTATTTACAAGAATAATTGTTAATGCTCAAGCCAATGATTAAGTTTTGACGAATTACTCCAAGGTTACGTTTTTTCAATTTAGTAACGAAGTTTAGAGGTATAACTTGGTTTTTTTATTTATTTTTAATTTTGGTTTTCGATTCTGTTATTTATCCAGACTTCTATTCTTCTTGTACAGATTTTACAGTCAAACTGTTTATTGACTCACTCTTCACTATTCATCTTTGACGGACACGGTAAAAGGGCTTCCCATGATTGGTTTACCATCCCACTTCATATCAACGACATAATCACCTTCTTTTGGTGGGAAAAACGAGACC